TTTACAATATTATTATTACCATTATTATTATTATTATTATTATTATTATTATTACTATTATTTACTACGTCGCTTTTTCACTCCCTTTATTCCCAAATTGTGTACCCTTCCTTTCCAACTTATGCAGCAGCTCGCCCATGGTGGAAAATCTGTCCTATTTAAACGATCTCCAGTCACTGTCTGGTTGAAAGTGAATGCTTCCACCGATTACGAATACTGAAGCAGTCTTTCTGAAACCACGTACGCCGTTCAAGCTGGCCTCCTTCAACGTTCGCACACTAATGCAGATCGGACAACAGATGGGGCTGGCTATGTCTTTAGAAAGTCTTAATGTTGATGTTTGCTGTCTATCCGAGACCCGTATTCAAGACTCTAGTGAAGTACTACAAATTCGCTCTCCATCTGTCGCTTCGAAAAGCTTGTTTCACGTGCGCTTATCCGGGGACTCTGTGGCATCTTCGTCTGGCCTTGCAGGTGTTGGTGTTGCACTAAGCGCTAGAGCTGAGGCAGCACTAATCGATTGGATCCCCATTAACAGTCGGTTATGTGTTGTTAGATTAGAAAGTTCCATCAAAGTGAGAAGAAACCGGCGTGAGAAACGGTGTCTTTTCGTCATCTCCGCCTATGCCCCGACAGATTGCAGCCCGGATGCAATCAAGGATGAGTTTTACCACCAGTTAACAGTTCTTCTCCAGAAAGCGCGTTCGACAGATATTGTAGTACTAGTCGGAGACTTGAATGCACAGGTCGCGCGTCTAGGCACAGAAGAGAGTCGTTTAGGTGGTCGATGGGGACTTGTTGGTCGCAGGACAGATATGCAACTGTGCATAGACCATAACCTGTTTCTGGCTAGCACTAACTTCCGGCACAGTCATCGCCGGTGTGCCACCTGGCGTCCTCCCTCTGCATCTCAAGCCTGGACTCAGATTGATCACATCGCGATCAGCTACCGCTGGCGTGGTTGTGTACAAGACTGCCGCTCCTTTCGGAGTACCTATCTGGAGTCTGATCATGCCCTGGTCTGCGCCAATCTCACCTTACTTTTCAGTGGCCGAAGGATTGACCACCACCAACGGATCGATGTTAGTAAACCGGCTGCAACATCTGTTGCAAGTAAGTATCGAGCGGAGCTAGCCTCTAGGCTAGCTACCACCCCACCGAAAAGTATAGATGAGCATTGGTTGCATCTTCACGACGCCATGAAAATGGCGAGTAAAGCCGCTTGCGGCTTCGCGAAACGTCCCGCTTACAAGCACTGGGTTTCTTCTGGCTCCTTACAACTGATGGAAGCCCGTCGGTCTACTCCGGGTGACCGTGAGTATGACCACAAACGAAGGCTGTTACGTAATGAAATCGGGCAAAGCTTGCGTAAGGACCGTGAAGCTCTGATGGATGTAAGTAATGGCGGTGTGGATATGTTGCCTGGAGAACGACTTCTCGACCTCGAGTATGCGGATGATATTGTCTTACTGTGCGATAATGCCCAAGGCATGCAATCCGCACTTAATCAGTGTCCGCAGGTACTGCATGTACTTTGCACCCTTCAAGTGCAAAGTACTCCTACAAGACTGGCAGGATTCTCATCCTGTACTCACCCTGGATGGTGAGCATATTGATGTAGTTGAGAAGTTCGTGTATCTAGGTAGCTATATAAGTGCTGGTGGTGGCGTGAGTGATGAGATTGATGCACGTATAATGAAAGCCAGAGCGGCTTATGCCAATCTGGGCCATCTCTGGCGCCTTCGTGATGTTAGTCTGGCTGTAAAAGGTCGGATCTACAACGCGTCGGTGAGAGCAGTTTTGCTCTATGCTTGTGAAACCTGGCCTCTCCGAGTTGAGGATGTTAGACGTCTCTCTGTGTTCGATCATCGTTGTCTCCAAAGGATTGCTGACATACAGTGGCAACACCATGTTAGTAATGCAGAGGTTCGGCATCGTGTGTTCGGGCACAGAGACGATAATTCAATTGGTGTCTCCATCTTGAAACACCGACTTCGGTGGCTTGGACATGTTTTACGAATGTCGTCTCAGAGACTTCCACGTCGTGCATTATTTGCCGACTCTGGGACTGGTTGGAAAAAGCGGAGAGGAGGTCAGTGTATGACATGGTGTCGTGGCATGAAAGAAAGTTGCAAAGGGCTAGCTTCTGTTGGTCCTCCACGACTCCCTGGCTGGGGTCCGAGAGATGGTGCAACACAGTGGCTAGAGACGTTATCAGATATGGCTCAGAATAGAAGCCAGTGGCGATCCTGCTGCAACCTTCTTTTACTTTCTACATAAAGAGTGGTTCTAACTTTCTTAACTGAAAGAGTCTTCTGGTTGTACATTTCAGTCCGTCTTATCTTTTCATCCCTTCTTTTCCTACCTTCGTTATTTTGTGTGGCGCATATGTATCTGGTGCCCTTTTGTACTATATATATGTATTTAAATAAATAAATATTCTTATTTGACGTGATACCTAGGTAATCGAAATACATTACATGGTTGGTATGTGACTGGAATTTTTCGCTCGTTTATTATATAAAACGTATAGACTTCAGGTTTATATATATGAGATTTCCGAAAATCTTATTAGCCTTCACTTACTTTTCCCAACCAAACTACACCAAATTTAATGAATTTGCTTTCTCTTGACAAATTATATATGGAAAAGGAAACTAATGTATTTTGTGCAAGGTCATACATTAGTTTGTTGAATACAACTGAATATAAAAGTATAGATGTTGAAAACTATTATGGCAGTCAGTCAGTCGCAATATACAACCTTGTACGTATGTACATCGGTTCAAGTTGCAATAATCCATTAGCACATTGTTAGACCGAACCCAAGAACAGAAGGGGTAGTAACAGTAATGGTGGTATTAAAAAGAATAGGCATTGAAGACACGATTCGGGAAAATATAAACTAGTGAGATAAAAACGAAAAACAAGTCATAAGGGGTTTTCAAACTCACCAACCTATATGCCATCCTTACCTAGTACCTTATCCCCAACCCAGATATTGCTTACTCGGTGTTCTCAAAATACGCAAGCAGTGGTTCGAAGACATCTATAGTCGAATACCAGTAACTTACGATTGTCTTCTGTTTCTAGTGAGCGTGTTTCACATTCATAGAGTCAAAGAGTGTAGCCTGCTGTGCAGTAAAATTGTCATTTGGTTAACAGGTGGTCATCTCGCCTACTCCATAAGTTGGCAAAAGCCAGCTGAAGCTTGTGAATCCGTGACAATATCTCATCAGACACTCACTGACCAAGGCTGATGCGACTCCTGAGAAAAGCGTAGCGATCGACGCACCCAACTACATCATTCTCTATCATTACTTCAGGCGCTGACGCAAGTCAATCCTGAAGCAACATGTTGCATCTGGATGGAGAGGACTGAGGCCCAAATATGCTAGCATTATTGCTCAAGTTGGTTAGGAGACTGGAGTTTGTTAGTATCTTCATCAACCGGAACTATATTATCTGAGGTTTACTCTTCAGAAGCTCCAGTTAAATGCTGAAGTAAAAAATGAGGCCAATAATTCAAACACTATATTAGTTAAAATGATTCCTTTCTGATTATCACAAAAGGAGTGGAATCCGATATTTGAAATTGTATTTTCATTTAAATATGAAACAGTAGATAGTTTAATTCAAATAGACCCTTACATATCAGTATACGGACAGCTAAATATACTCATTTTCAGTTAGTATACGATAGCTACATTCGACTTAATGGATTTAACACGAATGGAACTTTAAAAAGTATCAGTAAAGAGGTCAGTTAGTCAGTCACAACGTAGAACTTCGTACGTACGTACATCAGTTCGAGTTGCCATACCACATTAGCACAGAGATGCAGTTGTCGATTCAAATCCCATAGTGGTATCATAGAAGAATGGGAAATGTCAGAGTATATGTGGACTCACTGATAAATTGAGCTAGCATCAATGAGTCGTTAGTATACGAAATTATGTGAAGGTTGAACTACAAGACATGATAATTTTTTAAAAAGAATATGTAATAATAATGAAACTTTGAACTAACCTGCAAGGGATCATCAAAAATGCCCAATTGATCACGGAGATACCTGCGTTTTTCAGCGATATCAAGTGCAGGCCACTGGGATCTCAGCTCATCCTCAAGCATCTTCCTATCTAGCTCTGGATTTTTTTGCATACGGATATCCAATTCATCCTTCAAGAAAGTAGATAACGACTCTGCCTCTTCTTCTATCGTCAAAGGAACATTGCTCATCAATTCTAGGAGCTCCCCTAAGATGATGTGAATTTTTGAACGTTAAATACCTTCTTCAGCTTTGTCTAACCTTCTAGATTTCTGTTTGACAGAAATCCGACCGAACTTTTCAATCCTTTCGTTTACTGTAAGGTTCATCGCCACTTCAGCTTCCTTCCACGACTGGATCCAAATGCTTTTGCTACTTGAAACAGATTTGCTTTCAAATTTAATTTTTTCCTTTAACAAAAAATGAGCAAAAGCCACTCACACTTACAGATTTATCTTTGCATGTGCGTAGCTTCTCTTGAACATATTCATCGAAATTCTTTTTGCCAGAAAACGGAATAAGATTATTAGCAGATACCCAAGCTCTTTCTACTAATGGTCCGAGGAATTGTACATGATATATGAATGACCGTCCTGAAACTTCAACTAACCATTAGACTGTAACCAACCTTTCTCCTTTACATACGAATCTCCATCAGGTGAATGATAGACCATACACGGCCACCAAGGATGTGAACCGACCTTCGCCCAAAATATGTTACCCACTTGGTAATCATCAGAAATGCTGGGCATATTATAACAATCTAAGTCATACGTAGCGCATATATTTGCAGCTCGCGCTCTGGTTCAAAATGCAAACCTGTGTTTTTCCCTACTAAACCGAAGATAAGTGTGAATTAAATAAAAGAACGTAATCATGTATTCGAACGTTTCAACTGAGATCTTTTTGTGCTTATCAACATGACGATAAAACACCGCACATTTAAAGTTTGATGGAATGCGTTTCAGGATCAGGTGGTTGCTACATCGGCTTCGCAACTTCATGGGGTAAAAATCACTCACCGGAGAATGTCCTTGATAAAAAGGATGGTACATTCTGGATTACCACTGGACTGTTTCCACAGATTATGGTTATATCGTTAGACCAACCAAGGAAAGTCAGTCAAGTCAAAATTATTAGCAGCAAAGTTAAAGCTCTTTGTGTATGTATTCAAAATAATATCTATTTCAGTTTTTCAGCTTTTATTTGGACGGTCAGTTTGAACTTCCAGCACTTAAGAATTTTGACATGTAGTTTATTTCCGAATCTCCATATTTCGGGAAACCACTATAGAAATTTTTGGTTTATGGCACAAACACTCCAAAATCTCTCCAAACTTTGGTGAAGACCATTGGACTTTGGGTTGAACCCCGAAAATTTTTAAAATAGGGAGATCGGGTTTACTACACGTGCATGTCAACCTCCAGGGCTATCGTTTATTGTCACTGAACCAATTAGTACTTTCGAAAACCAGCTATGTCTTTGAGACTAGGGAAGTGCATCTTTAGTAAAGATTATTTACGCAACTAAAATGATCGCGTGAGGCTGAACTATCTTTTAGCCAAGGAAAAACAATTTTCAAATTAAAATTTTTCTCGTAGGTAATGTGGTACTGATAAGAGTAGAGATATGTATGCAAGAGTGTCATTTTCAACCCTCAGTAAAGCCATAACAAGCTCATGTGCTCAAGACGACTGACAAACTTTAATGCAAGGTAATTTTTACCTTTTTCTTAAAAATAACCTGGTTTTTAAGTGGAATAAAATTAAAAAAATCAGTTGGTTATTAAGTTACCCCAATACACGTGTCCGTCGAGTTCGGATCAACAAAATTTGGCTGTTTTGTAGCAATAGAACTTGTCTAGGGAAACGTGTAAGGTTACATCACTACCTTATTAGGTACTTACATTTTTTAGAAGGGCTGACAGAACTTCTCTGCGTTTTATCATTACGATATTTGGAATACTAAAAATGTATCCCCGCTGTTTTAAAGCTTGATCCAAAATTAATACAAAATTAGGATTTAAAGTCTATGTGAGAATCTATTACCATATATTAAGTATTATTGAAGGAACTAAGTCAATCAATGTACTCTTTTCTCATTAAGTATGGCTTACTGATTTATTTCTTGAGACTGAGTGATTATGATATATCTTCTTTATATACGAATGTGCACTCGTTTGCTCAAAATCATGTCTCATTTTCCAATTAAAGTAATAAAGATGCTGTTGTACACTCTACTTCTGTAACCGACGGATATCACAAAGTAAGAGTGACATGAATTTCGTTGTTTGATATTTTCTTGTAATTTCTGTGCTCAGCTTCAAGATTTTATCAAATTTTTCATGCTGTATTACTGTCATACATATGTTTAAGATTTTGACTCATAAGATCTGTTATCTTACTTCATATTGTCGCCTGATGGCAAGTAGATCTGCAGAATCTGGGCTCAATATGTATTTGAAAGGTAAATTCATCTGGGTTTTTTAAGGAATAAGATTTATTAAGGACAATTCACTATATTCGTTAGCAAGCATATAAGTTGCACTAAGTTAATTAAGGAGATTTTCATGTTCATAAAGTCCATTTCTTTCTCGTATAGCCAAGTAAATTCATGGAACAAAGTGAGTAGTCGGATAGGATTAGTGTCTAAAAAGTTCATACTATTAAGTACTATTAAGCAGATCGGGTTTTTCGATTAAAATATTGGTGGTTCTCTACAGTTCTTAATTTGCTTCTGGTAACATTTACATAAACTTTCTCTTGAACTTTTTTAGTATCTTTATGCTCTAAGCTATTTAGCACTTGATAATTTGACCAAAGGTTGTAAGGCAACGTTTATCGACAATATAAAGCAGCAAGTGTTGAAATGTGAATTGTACGTAAAATGGTATCTCCTACCTTTTTAACAAACAAATTATAACAAAGCTTAGTGTATGACATCCTATAATCGCTTTGTAATGAGCCGTGGTAAACTATATAGATAAACAATATGAAATTAAAGTTTTCAGTATCTCTGAATCTAAAATTTACATTTATGCGGTAACCACCTTTTTAAAACAACTCTCTGATAATAATTGTTGGTGTTCGGTTCGACTTTTTCCATAGTTAGTAAAGAAAATAATGCCAACTCAACAAGTCCATAAGTGTACAGTTTACTACAGTATTATGATAGCTCACTACGGATCCTTGTCACATAGGTGTATATCCCATTACTTTTTCCCTGATAATCGTTATTGCACTATGAACTTTTAATGGATGACGTCAGCGTTTATTTTCATCAGTTCTAATGCTTATCAAAGTGCCGTTGAATTTCTCATATCGAAGTTGCTAAAAATCGTTCTGGAAATTCTACAGACCAGTTGAAAATTATTTGTATAAACTTTTAATCTGCAGATTTACATGTAGGTATTTAGTGTTAAGTCTTTCATACAACATTGCTAATCACCTCATAATTTTGTTGGCCTTCTGCCTTTCCTTTAGAGTCGTGAAAAAATATGAACTTGGAATTAGCTCATATGTTTCATCAGTTGAGTAAATTATCTAAGTAATCTTTTTATGACACACATAGAATCAAAGATTTTGACCAACCACATTAAACCACGAATTTGGCTTAGATATGTAGATGACACATTTGTAGTGATAAAAAAGACGCATCTAAGATCATTTTCAAAACAGATAAATACACTTTCATCTCATATCAAATTCACGAATGAAAATGAACATGGTGAGCTTCCTTTCTTAGATTGTTTAGTGAAAAGAAATATAAATGGAGTTCTAAATGTATCCAACTACCGAAAGTCTACACACTCTAATCGTTACATCGACTTCCATTCAGCACATCCTTTCAGTGCTAAAATCTCGTTAGCCTTAAATCTTTTTAGAAGAGCCAACAAAATCATCACTTCAGAAGAGGACAAACTAAAAGAACAAAAGAATATAATTAGCATCTTACAATTTAATAATTTTTCTATGGAGATTATCAGAAGTATATTAAAACAAGACAACTCAGAACGTAATAATAACAATAATTCGAATGAAATGCCATGGATTGGTACTGCAGTTTTAGCATACCGTCATGGCACAACTGAAGAACTCCAAAGAATCTTAAAACAACACAGAATTAAAGTATATTACAAAACAACGAACACTCTTCGAAATACTTTAGTTCGATTGAAAGGAAAGATATCATTCATGTCTACACAGAACTGCGTCTACAAATTAGGTTGTGTCGACCGTGATGCCTTCTATATTGGAGAGTCATCTCGCGAAATCATGATTCGCGCCAAAGAACATATTAGGTACACAAAGAAACCTAATAATCCTGTAGAACTAGATAGACTTCAAATTAAATCGGCATTAGCGGTTCATGCCATTTTCAATAATCATCAAATTGATTTCAAGAACATCAAAATACTACAGAAAGTTCCTTCCAATCACAAAGAAAGAAGAGTAGCTGAAGCTTTCCATATAATGCTTAATCCCACTGCCCTCAATAGAAAGGAAGGCCTTACCATACATCCTACTTGGACTATCTATCCTAATCAACCAGTCTAATATTATTTACAATTTCACACCATTACATTACAAATTAACTCTATCCTTTGTCATTACAATGGTCACACATTTTTCATCATTTACAGTGGACACATACAAACAAAATTACATACATGTCACTTATAAATTACATTGACCGCAATGAAATGACGTGACATTGATTTATTCAGACCTGTTTTTGATTGATCACCTAATATTCTGGGATTGTTCCGTTGTACTATTTAAACTTGGATTAATGTGAATTTGGTTATTTATTCTCTGAAGAAGTGGCTTACACTGGGTCACAAAACGTCAGAAAATCTAATTTTTCTACTCATTGGGATATTACAAATATAGTATTTATTTATCTAAGTAATCATTATTCTTACACTTTTCAAAGTCTTAACTTTTTGTGTTACGAATTGACGGTTAATTATTTATGTATCTGAACCCTCAACAAAACCATAGAAAGTTTCTAAAAAGACATTTTATGCATCATTTTCAGCTACCAAGTAACATGGACAACCAAATGTGTCACTGAAGAATATCAAAGAAATTCAGCAAAATAAAATTTCTGTTCGATAATATTATTTACTAAACTTGTACAATTGTATTGATTGTGATTTTATAAATAGCTGAGTCTACGGGATCATAAAACGAGAATATATAATAAAATGCGTTGAAACTTCAAGTATTGAAATTTCCAAATGCTTCTTGATATAATTTCTTTTTACAATTCCATAGACTTATTTTGTTTATTAAATCGTAGTAAATGCAACCGTAAAGCTTTTGTAAATAATGTTATTGAAAAGAAATTGCCCTTTGCTGAATCTCCTTATTATTTGTTCATTGTATTTCTCCACCACTCTTTTCTATCCTATTCAAAAACAATTATGTTTATCAATAACTGTTTTTTTGGAGATTACGTCAGCTATCTAACTTTAAAAATGATTTGGATCATCAATCAATGACATTATATGAGTAACATGCAGTCAGTAGAATAGTGCATTACTCACACTAACTATACCCCAACTTTCCCGGTAATTTAGTATCATCAAATAAATCTGTTTAAAGCATAAGGATTAGGATCAAAGTATATTCAAGAAATAGTTTGTCTAGCTTTTTTCTCACCTACCGTTTTGTACTTTTAGATCTATATTAATGGTTATATGTGAAAATTATATTTAAAATAATCTCAGCGATTGAAATGTAAATAATTCCAACGTTGCCTTCAGGCCATTACTCTGAAGAAGTCCAGACAAGTTTACCGAACGAAACGTTGGAATCATTTAAATTACAATTACTGAGATTATTTCAAATATAATTTTCACATATAGTGACTTCTCTATATTCAGCACCCAATTTTTGTCAAACTGTTCGTTCTAATATTGACGAATATTCGCATATATCGATGGTTAATTATCTGTTAATCAATCTTCTTTAGAAGTCAATATTCTGTCAAATATGTTATTATTTTCTAACCCATGTTATTTATTATGATGGGATTGAGGATTTTTAATGATATTATTATAACTGCCTATTTATCCAATATATTTGTCGCGTTCACCTATATATTCAATGTAATGTAACGACTTTTTAATTCACTTCCCGTACTTAATGTATGATTTTTATTCTTGTCCTGTCAAACAGGTTGAAACTAGTTCACATATAAAACCAGACAATTTTGAATTGAAGTTCGAAAAAACTTTACCTGATTCAGATGGACAACTACAAATTACAGAACTACCAATCAACGATACTCATTTACATCATATTCGATTAAAAATACTTTCTGGTTACAATCACTTTGTTGCCGTTTATAGAGTGTTATTCGATGGAAAATAATATAGAGAAAACATCTGTTTCTCTCCTTGTATGATTAAAGTTTGTTTTGTTGTAAATTCAATTTTGATAAATCATGAATTTAACCATCATCAATTATTTTATTACATGTACAAAATCGGAATGCACTTCTTTTAAAATTGACTCTGAATATCTTTTTCATTAGGATCAATCATTAAAAATCAATAAATATAGAACAAAAATAATCCGTGTACAATTTGCACTAAAGTTTATGTAAATCGAATGGTTTTCTTTTATATTTAGTCAGCATAATATGGTTCTAAATTTCGGGGTTAAAATAACATTGAGTTTGATATTGATTATGATATATTTGTAACCTCATTATCGAAAATTTAATGTGTATATGTACACTTCATTTGCAAGCGTATCCATAATCTGAAATGTTTACACCTAGTTTACCTGGGATAAATATCTTCACACTGTAATGTAACAACATCATTTAATCATCTTTTAAATTTATAAGAGTGAAATTAATCATAAAATAAATAGAGTATCTATACCAGTAGAAAAAGAATCATTCAGTCAATTAACGATCTTAGGATTTTCTAAGTTGTATTTCTTAAATATTGATCTCAGTTATGATAATGTTGGAAACCAGGAAGCACTAAATAACTTTTTTGTCAGAATATGGAATCCTTCACCTTTACATACCCTCTTCACCAGGGATCAAAAGCAGTACTTCCATTTCTCACACTGAACACTTAAACATTGGGAACACTGAATCAGGGTCCGATGACACAATATTACCTTCGACCGATTTGGGTCATAAGACGTTGATCATCAACCGACATTGATGATATGTCTAAACTCTATCAGTCACAACCACTCATTGGAAATCCAGGAAAATCTTGACGTCAGCCACTAGTAATTAGACTGTAATAGTTTAATTAAAAAGTTTATCAAAAGAACATTGCGCATACCATTGAAAAAAATACTGAAATTCACTTATTCGGCTAGTATAATAAAATTCAGTGCTTTGGTTTGTCGTATGGTGAGATAGACTAGAATGTTTATTACATTTATGTTGCATAACAATTTATACAATAAATCACTGACAGATTGACACAATGTCTCATTACTTGCTGAACGAATCTGATATGACGAGATGAAAAGGCGAAATTTACATTCTTAACTCATTGTAATTTTTGTTCAACATTACCTCCGTTTCTAACTCAATATGATGATTATTCGGAGTATTATTTGTTTTGTTTGCTGTATAATACTTTATTCAGCATATCATTGAATTATTTTGGTATGATATTTGCTCAAGATATGATATTTTTGTATTAAATTGATGTAAAGTATGTTCAGCACTATATACAGCATGTGATTTGTTGTAATTCTGGGCATTTTTCATGTATGTGACTTTTTCCGAATCAATAATCCAATGTATCTACAAATCGATATAAAAATGAGTGTACTTTTTTAACCGGAGTCTTCGCCGTGCTTTTCGGGTGAATAATTCTCCACCTGTACCAGTCTTGATGTTCTTACCTCGCGTCGTAGAAATTGTAGTGGTTCCTTGTTCAACGAATACGTAATAAGAGACCCGGATATAACATAACTTTATACAACTTCACTAGTTGTTAGTCAATCACTATCTTCTATCATCTGTTGTTTATTGGTAATTCAGTGAATGAAACACATTGATCTAGAAGTCCACCTTTGCATTGTATCTTAGCTTTTAATGTGTTTATTGTGGAATTTCCTAGTTCATTCCAGTACAGAATTATGAATGTGGTATCACTTGAACAAAACAATAGTTCAATGATCTTATTATTTTTAATAGTTCGTCAACCGATGTCGATTTGTGGGAAAAACTATATTTTAACAATCATGATTGTGTGTACTTAAAAATTCTGTGTTAAAATTATGAGCAAATATCCAATTAGCACACAGATCTGTTTTTTTTAAAATTCTTAGCATTAACTACAAGTTTTAAATAATTATAATTCACCTCTTTCTTTCCATTAATTGCTTACATAATTAAATAAATTACATGAGCGAATGAGTTTACTCAATACTTTATGTAATAAGTTTTGGACAAGTGATGGTTTATCTTTTCAACTCAAAGAATAAATCGGAATAACTCTTTTTCAAATCTTCAGAAAATAGCTTTTTTCTGAAGATTTGCTCTTAGTCTTTGAACACTCTGTAATACATATTGTTTAATGATATTGGTTTAAAGGGTATGATAAAGCATTGGAATCCAACATGTGAATATGGCTTTACTTGGATTTACTTAAGATATTTATTTACAAACGTTTTATAATACGATACTGATTATTCGTGGAAATATCAGGGATATAACATTGAAATAGATAAGAATAACCTTTCTATAAACACACAGATAAACAATTTTCAAGCGAACGGTATTAGGTTCGAGTCCCGCAGTGAACATCAACTGTGGGGTGCAGGTACATTCAGCTGACGAGTCACAAATAAGACGAAACGGGCGTCCTGAATTCCACTGCTAACCACTATTCGCCTTTGCTTAAAAAGCTTGTGACTTAAGGTAATATTGAGGCAATCCTCACAGGATGCACATATGCCAATAAGAGACTGATCAATTGCAGTCCTAAGCATCAATGGAAAGATACAAACAAACAACACCAAGTGAATTTGATTTAATAAATGGTTTCTTTTTCGGCTTGAAGCAGTTTAAAATTATAATGATTTATAATAGTTACACAAATTAAATCAATTAGGGTAATGGAATTTTAATTTATTGGTATTCAATAACAAATGGATTTGATAGATGCAGCAAATAAAGAACTACCGTTATTGCGGAGATGACAACTCACTGAAGACAATTGGTGATAGGTTGCTCAAACTTCGTGGATTGATTGAAGTTAGACATTAACACAGTTGGATGCCGGCTCAGTGGTCTATTGGTTAAGCGCTATGGCGCGAGACTGGTAGGTCCTGGGTTTGAATCTCGTGAGGCGGGATCGTGGATGTGAACTAACAAAATAGATAATTCATATGACCCTAAATAAACTCCTATAAACGAAACTGATTACTAATCACTTATGAAAGAAAAGCCAATGTAAAGATACTTTATTAATTTCGTGTCATATAGTTGATAGGATGGTTATAAAAAATTCGGTTATTATATTGTTAAAATATTGAAAACGTTAGGTTATGTGGGTTTGTATAGGATTTCATAGAATCTATGTTTTATGTTCGTTTGTCAACTGAATGGATAATAGTCATGCTATTTCTTACGCCACTAACATAACGTTCACTTATCCATTTCGTTACCATACTTAGAACTGCAAATCAAAATATCAGGTATTAGAGTAATAACAGAAAACGTTTATACGTTAGACTTATAACCCATGTGATTACTGACGTATTATAGAAGACGATGATATGCTACAATTTTGAGAATCTCAACAACTGTATGCTTGAGGCATTTATTCTAAATTTTAATAAAAGATTTATGATTGGCTGGTTGATCATAATCAATTAAAAATGTATACCGCTTCTATCTTCATCGTTTGTTTTAGAAATGAGTTATGAATAAAAAGCATCGCTTCCAAATATATCATTAACTACTCTAGTCAATGAATTTCAAACCTTAATGTTATATTTTAATATCACTTAAATTAATGTCATTGAAAACAATATCTGAACAATAACATGCAATCGAAGACAAAATATATTCAGTTCATGGTAAATGTTCGGTTAAAATACACTTTGGTGATTGATGATTTTCTTATTATTATACATGGAATAATGTACAAACTGAAACATAAAAGCAAACTAGACCATTAAGAATTAATAGTGTAGTTAATGACACATAAATTTCACCAGTTGAAGATTAGTCATATTATTATATCCGAACGGAGAACACTCAGTCACTTTCGACTCGATCCTGGGTAATCATTATTTTTCGTATTATGGTGTGATGCGGTCTGGTCTGCTTATCTATAAACTAAACATGTCACAAATATACGATTCACACAGAGGAGACCGGTATTTGTGTTGTGAACTGAGTGGGCGAGACGTTAATATGCAGGTGATCAATAAGGGCACAGAAGTGACTTAAGGCTGCTCATGATGGTTAACATATCATTGGTTTAGCACATGGACACGGTCATATAGGTCGGTGTTCTGATTTTCGATTTAGTCACATGGTATTTCAACGAGCTATAGGACGTGAAAAAAGCTAACTCACTGTTTAGATACGTATTTCATTCACGTAGTACTTACTCCTGTTACCCCTAGTGGAGGAGTGAAGGCCGACCACCACCATTCTCCATCCAACTATGTCCTGTGCAATACTTTCCAGTTAAATACTTTACCAACGGTTTTTACACATTTTTATGACTGACACTCATTCTAGTAAATGATTTATCAATAACTCAACATTCCTTCTAATAAGATCTAATATCTAACTGAAGTATGTGTACTCTGGGGTTTTCAATACATTCGACTGAATACTTTGACTTGTTTGCTTACTCATAACTTTCGAAGATATTCGACAGAATATATTATTTTGTTCAACTGGGTACGGTATCCTACATAGTTTGTAATATTCATGAGTCTGTGGGTTTGATTGTCTTATTATTTTTAGTCGTATCATGAACTCCATTTAAAAGGTTTAAATATATTTCCTTATCACGGCAACATTTAAAAAGTAATGAATTTTCTACTAGCCTTGTTTCAATTATTGCTAATATTACTACATGCTTTTCTTCCTGAGAGTTCTTCAGAACTTCCTGATTATAAAATTGCAAATTACAATATTCGACAGGATACTTAGATTTTAGGTCATTCTAATTTATAAAAAATATGTTTTGATAAGAAGCATAATTACTGAAATTACGAATGTAAGTGGTAAACAATCAAAACTAAATAGAAAAAAGAAATAAAAAGCAGCCATGAGGAAAAAATTCATTTTAATTCATTTGGAAGTTTCAAATAAGAACTAATAAAAAATTTTTGGTCAAAATTAACTCTCATTATAAAAATAG